GTAAACTGCAGTCAAAAGGTGTATGAAAAAGCTTTTCAAATGGAGAAATAGAAGTGGGCAATCTATTAATGGTATAAACAATGTAAAAAGTAGCATCAACCCAAAATTGAGATGGTAAATGAGCATCCGTGAGGATGGTATGATCCATTTCAATTATGTGACGATATTTTTGTTTAGCCACTCTATTTTGTTGAGGAGTATCTGGGCATGATTTACGAAAAAATACCCTAGTTAGAAAAGCGTTGAAGCCTAGCCGTATTCTTAAATTCACCACATCCATCACTTTGAAAAGTTTTAATTTTAGTGTTAAACATATTCTCCACGAGTTTTTGAAATGCACAAAAGTGCTGAAAATCTTCTGATTTTCTCATCTTAGGATAAAGCCATGTAAATCGAGAAAAATCATCAACAAATATAATATAATATCGAAAACTCAAGTTTGATAAAACATTTGACTGCCAAACATTCGAATGAATAATATCTAAAGGAAATTAACTATAATGAGCAACTATATTAAAGGACATATGCTGAGACTTCCCTAACTGGCATGAAACACAATTAGTAGTAAAGGAATTTAGTAATGTAATAAGATTATGGTTCCTAAGACTGGACAAAATACGACTACCACTATACCTAAATGACAATGTCAGATGTCTCCATACTAACATAGAGAAACAAATGCTTGAGAAGGAGAAGACATAGACGAGAACGACAATCGATAAATATTGCCTTTACTGGAAGCTTGAAGGAGAGGTTGCCCCATTACCTTGAACTTCACACAAACAGAAGAATCATCAAAGTTAACATTATAATTGTTATCCATATATAACGTTTTAACAAAAATTAGATTATGACAAAGTTGAGGACTATGAAATATAGATTGTAAGTCTTGAAATATAGATTGTAAGTCTAGAGGAAGAGATGTAGAAGGAAACTGAGCATAGCCAATATTTTCAATGTTAAGCAATGTACCATTGCCTACCAAAACACGATCAAAACCAGGGATCTTTCGTATAAAATTACCTTCAGATGGAGTCATGTGAGCTAATTCAGCAGTGTCAAAATACCAAGTAGCATCATTTATTTTACCAACAGACATAATAGCAAAAGACTTAGGAAGATCATTAGCAACGAAAGCATGATTGAATTTTTTTTGACATTGTAAGGCATTATGACCGGGATGCCCACAAATTTGACAAACAATAGGTGATGGAGAGGGACCTAATATCCCACTGGATGGACATACTACTAGATTGTGAATTATAAAGAGTGAGAGAAGCACCACCAATACCTGACGGAGGCTCACCAGTAGAACCATTGCAAGCAACAATAATAGGAGTGAACTGTTGTAAGGGAACTCGACCAGAGAAACCATGGCCCATCCACCACGACCTCGACCTCGACCTTGAAAAGACGAGGCTCTTCCTCAACCACGATCACTTGAAGAAGACACTGCATTACTGGACATATTGGAAGAATTTGATTGAACATTCTGGCTAGCAAATGTATGATGAGAGATGATGGAATCAACTTCTTGAAAGTCTTGCAACTGTTGTTCATGCAAAAAGATCTTAGAATGCAAATCTTCGAGTGATACATGACTAGTAAAGTGAGTAAGGATACCAACCGGTGTATCGTTTTCTTTTCCTAATCCAAGAAGCACATGATCAATGAGATCATGGGGGGAAACCAGAGAATTTATGGTTGTAAGTGAATCGGCTAGTTGTTTGGCCTCTCAAATATTGATCAATTGACATAGATGTCCTCTTCTGACGAGCACAAAACACAATACAAAATTAATGCTCTCTAGCCAAAGATAGTATAATTTAATTATCATCTCCATAGGGATTGAATTTAAATAATATTCACATAATTTCTGGCTTAAATACTAAGGATGATTAACACTTTGATTGGAATGATTATGAACTAAAATTAGCTATTAAAATTAAAGTAATTAATAATTGATCACATATAACTAGAGAGTGGAGAAATGGATTACTATAATGACAAAGAATAAGGGTTTTGACATGATAGGTACAAGATTGTTATCCTGAATTTGAAAATATTATATTTCACTCTTAAGGTTATATCGATTCGCACGAATTCAATAGGTGATTAGCTTATACTTCCTATTCAGATTCCTCTCTCGATTATATATAATTTTTTTAAATAAACTAATGTGAAGTGCTGTGAAACATGCAAGAATCTACTGATAGGAATGATCTAAGAGAAACTTCTCGTGAATATTTCTCATTCTTGATTTAAATGGTAACTCAAAAAGCTATCTCGATTACTTCAAAGAAGCACCAAAATAAACTAAGGCATACGTTGCAATAATATTCAATAAGATGTTCCTCTTCTGATTAAATACTATAATGAATAAAATCACAATTAATATTAAAGCTCCTCCAATAAATTCAAGCAATTAAACAGTAGTCAAATCCATGAACAACACCCAAGTCACCAAATCATATTAAACCTTAAAGTAAGCTACTCCATAGATATGGAGAAAGTCATCATAAATAGAGTTAAAGAATAAGTAATCCAACGTTACAATCCAAACTCACGTATTGAATTGGTAGAAGGAACATGAAATCTTATGTCTTGAAGCTTCCAATGGTCTCCAAAAGCTCCCAAGGTCAAAAGTCCCTTCAACAATATATTTTTGGTGTATTTGTACCATGTAGAAATGGGCCCGGATGGAACTACCTTTTCCAAGTCGAAACAGGAAAATACTCTGAGAAATTTATACAGGCACACTACCCCATGCGGTGTGCCATGCGCAGTGGTATTGGGGAAGTTCATAGAGCAAGTTTTTTATGGACAACAGAAATTATCACAGCCGCGTCACCCCATGCGATGCCCCATGCGACACGACAATGTTATTTTTATAGTGTTTTTTCCCTCAAATTTTGTAATCCAGACTAGGTCCTCGACCCCCGAACACGATCCCGGCTTAATTCCTTGGGCTTTTACTCAGACTTGAATGCTTCAAATCATTCATATTAGCTCAGAACCTTCTTCTCACTCGAAATCAGTTCCTTCAAGCCATAAAACACGTAATAAGTTCAAATCCCTATCATTTAAGCTCAAACACATGTAAAATACAGTAATTAGAGTTCAAACTATGACTAAAACCACGAGTTTCTAGCCTACCATCAACATCCCACACTTAAATCACTGCTCGCCCTCAAGCAATAAAACTATATTTACATAGAGACGACCTTTTTATCAGACAACTTCCCTAACACATCATGCCAAGAATATTTAAAACAGACTAAGCAACCTATCAGAACACCCTAACTCAAAATTCGACTTAAAAGCACCACACATTTTTCTAACCTTCTCACTTACTCTATCACAGGAGCCAAAGACATTACCTTTCCTTCACAAGTCATGTGCCCCCACACAAACAATAGAGAGTAGTTCCACATACAATAACGTTTAAGAAAAAATAGGAACTCAAGATAGAAAGAATTAACTCACTCTCAGAAACAAAATTCATATGACACAGAAGACGTTCCATAGGCTTGCCCGTAGTGTAATACTCTATTAATTTAGTTTATTCAGCCATGGATAAAGTAGGACTTAATTTGATTGTAATGTAGGGTGTGGGACGGATATGATACATATAGATAATAGTAACTATACCTCCCTTAGTACTTTAATACAAATACATTAATATTTCAAAATCCATACTTATGTTGAACCAAATCCCAACCTTCACACATAATAGCATCAAGCTCCCAATTTCTTTAAGCACAAATAAGATGAAAACTGCCACTAGCAAGGAATCAAAAAAAATTAAATTTTTTTTCCATTCTAATACATATACAACTCTTTTTTTTTCTTTTCAAAGTTCTATTTTTTATCTAAGCAACTTCATTTTTTTATTTCTTTCAATTCCTTACAGGTGGTTCTCACAAATTTTCAAATAGTGCATCTTTCTCCATTTTTTCAGTTTCACTCAAAAACCCGATCATACCTCCACGTAGCTTTTAACAAGCTTATAACAATTTCAAATGCTTACGAGAGGTTAGATTTTCAAATAGATAATCATTTCAAACAAAAAAAGTCAAGCTTGTAGTGTGGTTGTCACAGAAAATAGGATTACAGACCCAAAGGGGCTAACTAGGATACACCGCAATTAGTTGGGTAAAAGGCATATATCTGGCTCAAACAAAGAAATGCCTATATCACTTTCTAGACTGGACAAAACTTTTATTACGCTTTGCGAACACACAGAACAAGTTCTAGACATCAGCTGACATGCACAACATATCAACAAAAGTCTCACAGACACATTGGTACACAACTCACTTAGGATCGGATCTATCCCAACTCTCTAGTAAAAGTAGTTAAACAAAGTCAAAATCAAATAATTTCAGGTACTTATTCATGAGTCAAGAACTGAGCCTAAGCTTCACAACTAAGGCACTCATTACTCTCAAGGCACAACAAGGTAGACATGTTATCTCCATTTAACACCATAGCACAAGACTTCTCTATTTCTAACAAAAGAAAAACTAACTAAATCGGTTCAAGAAAAACCCTTGAAAAAGAACTACGACACAAATAAAAATCAAGGAGTAATTGTTACACTACCTAAGAAAATAAAACAAACATGAAAGACAATTTTTTCTTCGACTTTGATACCTCAAGAAGACAGTCGAGGAAATTCATCGTCGGGAAAAGTCAAATATTTTTTTCCATACTAACAAAAACACATACAAATACATATTTACATCCACCACACCATACATTAAATTGTGGCATATCCCGATGACACACAAATAAAAATCAAGAAGTAAAGGAAACTCACCTGAATCATCTAGTCTGGGTCTGAATCGATGTCAGGATCCACTTTGCATGCCCGACCTAGTGCACACATCCATGCTGAAAGTTTCTTTTCTTCTCTTCGGGAACACCCTACACTTGTCATGCTTACCCTGTCTAGCTCGCTCTTTTAGGGCCTTTGCCTTGAATTCAGAGTGTGCAATTTACTCTTCTCTAGGGCCCCCTATTGCTTCCTTCATCTTGAACTTCATTCTTTCTTCCCCCACTCTTAGCATGAGCTGCCTTTCCTGAATGTCCATAATAGCTCTAGTAGTAGCCAAGAAAGGTCTCCCCAAAATTAGTAGGACCTCGTTATTCTCTTCAATTTTCACTATGATAAAGTCCATAGGGAAAACAAATTTGTCCAACTGAATTACCACATCCTTCAGTATTCCTTCAAGTATGATTGCGGTCTAATCTGCCAGCTGCAAAAACACAGATATAGATCTGATTTCTCCAATCTCTCTCTCAAGCTTCCTAAAAATAGATAAAGGCATACAATTAATAGAAGCACCTGAATCATACAAAGATTTTTCAAATTAGTTCTTCCTAAAGAGAAAGGTATAGTAAAACTCCCTGGATCTCTAAATTTTTTAGGGAGCTTATTCTGTGAGCTTGACAACTTATGTCTCTTCCACTTTACGGACAATATCTCCTTCAATAACTTGGAATATACTGGCATTTGTGAAAGCACCTCTGTGAACGGTAGATTAACATGCACTTGCTTGAGCACTTCTAGAAAATGCCCAAAGTGTTTGTCCAACTTTTTTCTTTTTTGCTTCTGAGGGAAAGGTAGAGCAAGCATATATTTATTCTCTTCAATCTCCTCATTCATTGAATTCCCATCCTTATTCTTTAGAACTCTAGTCCTCCCCTTCTTCTTCTTCTTCTTCTTCTTCTTCTTCTTCAGACCATCATCAGGATTTACCCTTACTTCATCTTCTTGATTGTCATTATTTTTCTGCTCCTCCACAATCCCCACTTGTCTTTTAATCAACTACCCTTTTTTTGTTATCGGGTCCTTCAATACTTGCCCACTTCTCAAGCACACCACATTTATTGTTTCTCTTTTGGATTCCTCTCGGTATCAGCAGGGAGTGTTCATGGAACCCTCTCAAACAATAGATTAGCAAGTTGTCCCACCTATTTTTGCAAGTTTTGAATGGTTGTGTCCTATTCTAGAATAGTTATACCATGAGTTTCAAGCCTCTCATCTATCTTAATAATAAAGGCCTTTATCATATCTTCCATGTTAGAATGACTAGACTATGGAGCTAGTATTGCTACCTTTGCTAATTTTTAAATCCTGGAGCTCCTTGTCCCTAGGGTCTTGGATTATTCTGCTGCCATGAGTTCAGACTACCACTTGGTGAACTCTACGAAAAACCTGGGTGCCTCTACTCCATGGAGTTAAAATTATTACAACTTTGGTAGTTGCCTCTGTTAAAGTTTCCCACAACATTTACCACTTCATATGTAGTCGTGGACTGACACTCATCCGTTGGATGACCCATTCCACAAAAGTCACAAATTGATGATGGCTGACCTTGTCTAAGGTCAACTTTCTTATCTATTTAGCCATGGTGTCTAGCTGGGCTTGCAGTGATGTGTTAGAATATACCCGGTGAACCCCAACAATTTTTTCTATCATTACTCTCTGTGGGCCATTGGTGAGCATCTTCACAGAGCTCATCAAGAATTTCAACAATCTCCTCAAGTGTTTTCTTCATTAAAGGACCTCCAAGTGCAATACTCAGAGTTCATCGTGAGGAGGGTGTCAGTCCATCCCAAAAGTCCTAGAGCTGCATCCACAATTTGATTCCATTATGTAGATACTTTCTCATTATCTCATTGAGTCTTTCCCAAACTTCAAAGACCATTTAAGTGTCATTCTAGCAAAAGTCATGGATGTTTGTAATGACCCGGCCGGTTGTTTCAAGAGTTATAATTCCATTCCCCCATTTTCTGCTTCTTTTGTATTCTTCAGTTGTATTTTGACTTAACGGGTTAGTTGGTTAGGGTCCGGATTGGGTTTGGAGTAAATTGAGACACTTAGTCTCTTTTGTGAAGGCTTAAATAGGGAAAATTGACCGGATGTTAATTTATATGTAAACGACCTCGAATTTGGATTTTAATGGTTCCGTTAGCTCCGTTAGGTGATTTTGGACTTAGGAGCGCATCCAGAATGTGATTTAGAGGTTTGTGGTAGAATTAGGCATGAATTGGCAAAAGTTAGAATTTTGGCGATTTTGGCCGGCAATGGAAATTTTGATATCGGGGTTAGAATGGAATTCCGAAAGTTGGAGTAGATTTGTGGTGTCATTTCTGACGTGTGTGCAAAATTTGGGGTCATTCAGACGTGATTTGATAGGTTTCAATGTCGTTTGTGAAATTTGAAAGTTTAGAAGTTCTTAGGCTTGAATCTGAGGCTAATTTTGTGTTTTGATGTTGTTTTGAGTGATTCGAAGGCTCAACTAAGTTTTAATGATGTTATGGGATGTGTTGGTATGTTTGGTTGAAGTCCCAAGAGCCTCGGGTGAGATTCGGGTGGTTAACGGACTTGGTTTTCGGTTGGCAACATGGCTGAATTGCTGATATCTGGTATCAGTTATTTCTAGTTTCCTTGTACGCGATCGTAGGAGTCCATTCACAATTGCGTAGGCTTATTTGGGTGTAGAGTTAAGTTTTTTCTACACGATCGCAAAGATAGTATCGCGATTGCATAGGTGTGCATCGCGAACACGTGGCTGAGGTTGCGTTTGAGTAGAAGGATTTGGAGCGGTAGTGAGGTGAAGGAATTTGCTCTAGGGGATCGCATAGAGTTCAGCACATTCACGTAATTTGAGAGGTTGTGATTCGCGATCACATGTGTATTTCCTCGATCGTGTAAGGTTAAAATGTGGGGCAACCTGTTTGTGCTTCGTGATCGCGTGGCTCTTTCCACGATCGCGATGAAGGACATCTGGGTAGTATATAAAAGTTTCAAAAACGAGGGTTCCGAAACCTTTCTTAATTCTAACATTCTTGAGCTTGGTTTTGGATATTTTTGAAGGATTTTGAAGGTGAATCTTGAGGTAAGTTCCTAGTGATCATTTATATTCAATAATTATGCTACCCTACTGATTTTCCCACCTAGTTGGTGTGTTTTTGAGGTGTAATTTGGGGGTTTGAGGCTTGGGAATTCGAAAGATGATTTTGGGGATTTCAATGGCCATTTGATGTCGGATTTTGATGAATTTGGTATGGGTAGACTCGTGAGTGAATGGGCTTTCTATTTTTTTTGAATTTTATCGAATTCCGAGACGTGGGCCAGAGGGCAGAGTTTGAGTGGATTTCGGGATTTGTGACAAATTAAGTAATTTTTTCTTGTGGAATTGGTTCCTTGGCCTATATTGATTTCATTGTATTGATTTTGGCTAGATTCGGGAAGTTTGGAGGCCGGTTTGAGAGGTAAAGGCATTGCGGAATAGGATTTTGGCTTGATTGAGGTAAGTAACGCTTCCAAACTTGATTTTGAGGGTTCGAAACCCCGAACTATGTGTCATGTGATTAGTATTGAGGCGACACACATGCCAAGTGACGGGCGTGCAGGCGTGCACCGTAAGGATCGATACCTGGTTCATTTCATGGCACCGTTTAGTGACTCTTTCTTGCCGATATCTGTGTTTCCATCATGTGATTAAGTAAATGAGTTGTAAATCATTCTAGATATTATGTTAGGGCTTTACGCCGATGCTGTTAGGACCCCTAGTGGTTGTTTCTTTCTGTCATCTCACTAGTTTCATTGATATTCTGTACTCAGTCTTATTCATGCATTTCATACCATGTCTCAGTCACAGTTGTTATTTATTGGCACATCATATCATTGTTCGGGGCTAGTTTTCATGGCATTGTGAGCCCGTGTGTGAGACTGGAGAGTGGTGACTGAGTGAGGCCGAAATCCTAATTATGAATGACAGTTATGGGATCGGGCTGCACGCTGCAATGGTTATGTTGATGATTATGATAGCGCTTGGGCAGTGGGATCCCCTCCGATGTCTACACACCCTAGTGAGCACATATGATATTATTGAGGGATGAATTTCCTTGGACATGGATTTGGCCGAAGTATTTTATTTGGAGATGAATTTCTCCACAGGGTTGGATCACCCTTTCCCTCGGTATCGAGTGTGTCATGACCTAAATCGATGGGCCACGATGGGTGCTTGATTCTTACGTGTCAAACACCCCTAAGCATGCATCTAAAGTATAAACCTGAATAACATCTACTGAATTATGAAAATAACATATATGAAGGAAACCTGCCAAAAAGGCATATGTACGTATACATACCGAATACTGTGGGCGAGCCGGCAAGGCTGCTATCGACAACTATACACCTAAAACTGAAAGCCGACAAGGCCACATACAACCCAACTAGACATACTATCTACAGACCTCTAATATAAATACAACTGTACAAATGCGGGACTGAGCCACGTCATACCCATATATATATATATATAATATGCACAAACATATCGTACAAAAATCAAAAGCAGCTCCGGATCAAGTGGAGCATGCCAACTCTCGCTGATCAGGGATCCTAAAAAGGGGGACCGTCAGCTTGCCTACCTGCACCTGCGGGCATGAAATGCAGGCCCCGTGAAATAGGGTGTCAGTACGAATAATATACTGAGTATGTAAGGCATGAAAATTAGTACATAAGAGACATAGATAAAATATGGAATAAAGAAATCTGCCTGTAAATCTGAATAAATTTATAAATCCTGAAAACATTTATAATGTCATGCACATGCATGTAAATGTCGTTTCATGCATAGGTATAGATGTACATAATATCATCAAGCCTCTAAGGGCATCCCATCATATCGTCTCGGCCACTGTGGGCAACATCATCAACATATACCCGCTGATCAGGTGATGGAGCGTATATAACACCGTAACCTTTTTCCATATCCCATATATATATATATATATTTACATATATACGCGTATATAACGCCATCTGGTCATGGGTCAATGCATATGTATAAATAGGTAAAATACATAAAAAATACGTAAAAATCTCAATATTCCTTCCGGATAAACTTTTTCAACTGCGTATTATTCCGAGACCCATGAACAGAAGATAATAACAATACACATGGGGAATCAAGAATACAAATACCCCTAGTATTTCTATGGACAGAGTAATTTATGGAAGCGGTGCATTTGCTAGTTTCTTCTGTATAATATGGACCATGCCAAAAGAAAGAAGGGATGGCCTTAACATAACTGGTATAGGGAAAACTCCATATAATATTCCGTTGGAAAACCTTCATTGATTGAACTTAGAAGTAAAATTAAGCTTCTGCTTTTTTGAATGTCTTGAACGAAATTTGTTTCTGCTTCTTTGAAATTCTTTGAAGGAAATTTGCTTCTAATTCTTTGAAATTCTTTGAACGAAATTGCTTCTGATTCTTTGAACGAAATTTGCTTCTTTGAAGCTTTTTGGACATCAAGCCAAGAAAGATAGGTTTGCTTTAGAATTGATAACGTTTTTGGTTCTCATTTTGTTCAATATGCAAATGTAACAAGACTTGTTAGAAGTCTTGTTTTGTTAATCATTAATTCCCACTTAATGCTTACGTAGCCACCTAGGCATAAATGACTACTTAGTCATTTCTAGATTTGTGGCTTCTTGCCACATGTAATTTATTAATTTCTATCCACTTATTAGTTAACTGGGTAATGTCCTGTTACCTGGTAATTAATCAATTACCCGTATAATTAAGAATTATCTCTTACTTAAAACTATTACTCATTTTTAATATACTTTTACATCACTTCATCACGGCCATATGGTACCTTGCATGGTACTAGTTCATAATTATCGGGTATTATCGCTCGACCCGTATTTTTTCCAAACGACGATGGCCTCACATGACCAATAACAATAGCTAACACAAGAATTCGTACACTTACCTTGAGGTTATGATGTCTCAGTCGGACCCTTCTCTGGAGGAGGAAATAGTAGGGATATCTAGACTTCATGTATTCCTCGGCCTCCCAAGTCATTTCTTTCACATTGTTGTTTCTCCAAAGTACTTTCACCGAAGCTACGTCTTTAGTTCTCAATCTCCGAACCTGTCTGTCTAGTATAGCAATGGGAGTTTCTTCATTTTAGTTGCTCTGTGACCTGAACGTCATCAACTGACACAATTCTGGAAGGATCTCTGATATATTTACAGAGCATAGACACATGAAAGACTGGATGTACAGATTCCAAGTCCGAAGGCAAGTCCAACTCATATGCTACCTGGCCTACCTTGCGTATGATCCTATATGGTCCAATGTACCGATGGCTAAGTTTTCCTTTCTTGCCAAACCTAATCACACCCTTCATAGGTGACACCTTTAAGAATACCCAGTCATCAACCCTGAACTCTAAATCTTATCGTCACACATCAGAATATGACTTCTGACGACTCTGAACTGTCAATAGTCGACCCCGGATCAACTTTACTTTTTCTATGGCTTGCTAAATCAGGTCTGGTCCATGTAACCCAGATTCTCCAATATCAAACCACCCTATAGGCGACCTACACTTACTTCCGTAAAGAGCTTCGTATGAAGCCATCTAAATACTGGAATGGTAGATATTATTATATGGGAACTCAATATGCGGCAGAAAATCATCCCAGCTACCTTTGAAGTCTATTACATAAGCTCATAACATATCTTCAAGTGTCTGAATAGTACGCTCTGCCTGTCCGTCTGTCTGGGGATGAAATGTGTTACTAAGACTTACTTGAGTCCCCAATCATTTTTGGAAGGACCTCCTGAAGTTAGATGTTTGAGCTCCTCTATGCGAGATAATAGATACAGGGACACCATTCAGTCGTACTATCTCCTTAATATAAAGCCTTGCATAATCCTTTGAGGAATATGTAGTCCTAACAAGCAGAAAATGGGCTAACTTTGTAAGCCTATCAACAATCACCCATATCGAATCGAACTTATGCTGGGTACGAGGTAAGCCCACGATGAAATCCATATTGATTACTTCCTATTCCCAAGTTGGGATTTCCAAAGACTGTAATAACCCACCGAGTTTCTGATGCTCAACTTTAACCTGCTGACAGTTAGGACACTGAGCAACAAACTCTGCTATATCATTTTTCATTCTGTCCCACCAATATACTTCCCTGATATCATGATACATCTTTGTTTCTCCTTGATGGATAGAATAATGAGAATAGTGAGTTTCTCCCATAACCTACCGATGCAGCCCTGCAATATTAGGCACACCTAATCGCCCTCTATATCTGAGGACCCCATCTTCTGCAATTTCAAATGGTGTCTTCTCATTCTAAAGGGTAGTATCCCTATAATGAACTAACACAGGATCCTCTTACTGACGTTCCTTTACTTCAGTTACTAAAGAGGACGTTGCCGTATCCTGAATAGTAATTCCAATATCACCTGAGTCCACTAACCGAACTCCAAGACTAGCTAGCTGATGAACCTCATGGGCTATTCCCTTTTTTTCTGTCTATAGATACGATAGGCTACCCATATATCTACGGCTGAGGGCATCGACTACTGCGTTCTCCTTCCCCGGATGGTATAAAATATTAGCATCATAGCCTTTAAGTAGTTCTAATCATCTCCTTTGATGTAGATTCAATTCCTTTTTCTTGAAGATATAGTCGAGGCTTTTATGATCCGTATAAATATCAACATTAATGTTATACAAGTATTGCCTCCACATTTTTAGTGCATGAATCACCGCAGCTAACTCTAGATTGTGGGTCGAGTACTTTTTCTCGTGCTTTCTTAGTTGTCTAGAAGCATAAGCTACAACCTTACCATGATGCATCAGCACACAACCCAATCCAACGCCTGAAGTGTCACAATAGATCACATAACCATTGGTCCCTTCTAGGAGCGTTAGAACCGGTGCTAAAGTTAATCTCTCCTTTAATGCCTGGAAACTCTGTTCGCAAGCATCAGTCCATTGAAACTTTGCTCCCTTTTGAGTCAAATTTGTCAAAGGTGCTGAAAGGGAAGAAAATCCCTCTACAAATCTCCTGTAATATCCTGCCAAACAGAGAAAGCTACGAACCTCCATCAGCATTGTGGGTCTAGGCCAAGTCTTTACTGCCTCAATCTTTTGTATATCCACCCGTATGCCTTCACTCGGCTTGATATGCCCAAGAAAAGCTACAGAGTTCAACCAGAATTCATATTTAAAGAATTTTGCATACAACTTCCCTTTTTGTAGAGTTCTGAGCAAAGTACGCAAATGATCTACATGTTCAACCTCTGAACGAGAATACACCAATATATCATCGATAATTACAATTACGAACAGATCTAAAAAGGGCTTGAACACACGGTTCATCAAATCCATGAATACTACTAGGGCATTGGTCAAACCAAACGACATAACACGAAACTCAAAGTGCCCATATCTGGTCCTGAATACTGTCTCCGAAATATCTTCATCCTTAATCGTTACTTGATGGCACCCGGACCTCAAATCAATTTTTGAAAAACACTTGGCACCTTGCAACTAATCAAATAAATCGTCAATACTCAGGAGCGAGTACTTATTCTTGATCGTTACCTTATTCAACTGTCTATAATCAATACACATCTGTAAGGAACCATCTTTCTTCCTCACAAATAACACAGGTGCTCCCCACGGTGATGTACTAGTCCGGATAAAGCCTTTTTCAAACAAGTCCTTTGGTTGTTCCTCCAACTTTTTTAGCTCTGTAGGGGCCATTCTATACGGAGGAATGGATATTTGATGAGTATCCGGTAGCAGGTCAATAGAAAACTTAATTTCTCGCTCTGACAGAAGACCTGGAAGCTCATCGGGAAAAACATTAGGAAACTCATTAAACATAGGGATGGACTGAATGGTTGGTAACTCCACCTCCACATCCTGAACCCAAACTAAGTGATAAATATAGCCCTTTCTGATCATCTTCCTTGCCTTGAGATAGGAAATAAATCAACCTCTCGGCGACGCCGTATTACCTTTCCACTCCAAAATAGGCTCCCCTAGAAATTCAAATCGGACTATCTTTGATCTACAATCAATGTTGGCATGACAAGAAGCCAACCAATCCATACTCATTATAACATCAAATTCTACCATATCCAACTCGATTCGGTCTGCTATGGTAGATCGATTATGAACTACTATTATGCAGCCCCTATATACTCGCTTACCTATCACTGAGTCCCCAACAGGTGTAGACACCTCAAAAGGTTTAACCAATTCAGGTTTTATTCCAAACTTACTAGCAACTAACAGAGTAACGTATGATAAGGTGGAACCTAGGTCAATTAGTGCATATACATCATATGAGGAGACTAATAATATACCTGTAACAACATCAGGCAATGACTCCTAGTCCTGTCATCCTGCCAACAAATAAATACGGTTTGAAGGACTGCTCAAGCTAGATGCTCTGCCTCTGCCTATACCACATCTCATTGGTGCTTGTGGACCTTGCCCAGGGGGCGTACTAATGATGATGAACCAGCTACAGATCCTGCTAGCTGAGCTATGCTTGCATTACCTCTTATCGGACAATCCCTCATAACGTGGCCCGGATAACCACAAGTATAACAAACATCTAATCGCATACGACACTGCCCGATATGCTGCTTACCACATTGAGCACATCGTGGCAAGGGCAGCCTCATCTGACTTGACTCACCCCTATACTGAGAACCTGAGGCCCTGAAATTCCGACCAGACCCTGAATATGTGGAACGATCAAATCTCTTACCGCCAAACTGAGGGGGCGCGCTAGCCAATGGCTGAGTTGGATACCTCGGGTACTGCTGCCTCTAACCACTTCAAAACCTACCAGAAGGACCCTAAGACCTCGCTCTCTTATTCTGGGCCCTATCATGCTCATGATCGTACCTTTGTTTCTATTTACGCTCCTCTACACCCTTAACGTATTCCTGAATATGAGAAATATCCAAGTCTGCCTGAAGTGAGACCGACATGACATACAATTGTTAAGCAAGTGAGGATTTAATCCCATCATGAACCGGTGAACCCGATCCTCCATCTTAGATACAATAGTGGGAGCATACCTAGCCAATGAATCAAACTGAAGACTATACTCCCGAACACTCATGTTACCCTGCAGAAGGGTCAAAAACCTATCAACTCTGACCCTTCTAGGCTCTGGTGGTAGATAATGACAAAGAAAAGCTTCTATAAACTCCTGCCATACTACTGGAGGGGTATCCTCACCTCTGGACAATTCCCAAGACTCGTACCAATTTAATGCAACATCTCGGAGTACTAGCTCAACTGACTCAGTCGCAGTGGCCTTTATTACCCTTAACATCCTCTGCATTCTATCAATAAATACCCGAGGGTCCTCATTTGGATTTACTCCAATGAATAATGGAGGGTCTAAATTGATGAAGTCACGAACCCTCGCACTAACGGACCTATTTGCATGACCAATACCTATTTCCTGATGTCGAGACTGTGCGGCTACTAATAGGGACAATAACTGAATAACATCTCTCCTCTCCTAACCCGGTGCATCTGGTTGAGGAGCTGGATGTCCAGGGGCGGGCACTGGAGCTGGTGCCCTCGGAACGCTTCTAGAAAGGGCGGAGTATGTGAAGTCTGAGATGGAATCTCACTATGAGACTCTCCCCGAGCCCTTGTAACTCGTGGCGCTCGACTAGTAGTCTCACCAGCCACATACTTTCCCTTCTAGGTGGTCGTACTCTTTGGAGGCATCTCTGAAAATATAACATATCGTTAGGAACATGAATCTTTATATCGCACGATCTGAGATAAAAAGAGGGGATAACATCCTATGTCTTGTAGCCTCCTATCTATAAGTGTGGTGCACAATACACCCATAAACAAGAATCTACTTGACACGGTCTATAGACAACCCTAGGACAGAACTACTCTGATACCACTTTTGTCACGACCTAGACCGCTGGGTCGTAACGGGTGCCTGAGTCTAACTTGTCAAACACCCATAATCATGCGTCTAAAGTATAAACCTGAATAACATCTGTTGAATTACAAAAATAACATACATGAAGGAAACCTGCCAAAAAGGCATATGTACGCATACATGCAGAATATGGTGGGCGAGCCGGCAAGGCTGCTATAGAAAACTATACACCCAAAACTGAAAGCCAACAAGGCCACATACAACCCAACTAGATATACTGTCTAAAGACCTCTAATATAAATACAACTGTACAAAGACAGGACTGNGGACCGTCAGCTTGCCTACCTGCACCTGCGGGAATGAAATGCAGGCCCCATGAAATAGGGCGTCATTACGAATAATGTACTAACTATGCAAGGCATGAAAATCAGTACATAAGAGACATAGATGAAATATGGAATAAACAAATACGTCTGTAAAACTGAATAACTTTACAAATCCTGAAACATTTATAATGTCATGCATGTGCATATAAATTTCATGTCATACATAGGTATAGATGAACATAATATCATCAAGCCTCTGAGGGCATCCCATCATATCGTCTCGGCCACTGTAGGCAACATTATCAACATATACCAGCTGATCAGGTGGTGTTGCGTATATAATGCCGTAACCTTTTTCCATATCCCATATATATATATATATATATATATATATATAACGCCATCTAGTCATGGGTCAATGCACATGTATAAATAGGTGAAATACATAAAAAATACGTAAAAGTCTCAATATTCCTTCCGGATAAACTTTTTAACTGCGTATTATTCTGAGACCCATGAACAGAAGATAATAATAATACACATGGGGAATTAAGAATACAAACACCCCTAATATTTCTATGGACAGAGTAATTTATGGAAACTGTGCGTTTGCTTGTTTCTTCTGTATAATTTGGACCATGCCAAAAGAAAGAAGGGATGAACTTAACATAACTGGTGTAGGAAATACTCCGTATAATATTCCGTTGGAAAACCTTCGTTGATTGAACTTATAACTCAAAAAAATCGGATTAAGCTTCTGCTTTTTTGAATTTCTTGAACGAAATTTGCTTCAGCTTCTTTGAAATTCTTTGAACGAAATTTGCTTCTAATTCTTTAAAATTTTTTGAACGAAATTGCTTCTAATTCTTTGAAATTCTTTGAACGAAATTTGCTTCTTTGAAGCTTTTTGGACATCAAACCAAGAAAGATGGGTTTGCTTTAGAATTGATAACATTTTTGGTTCTCATTTTGTTCAATATGCAAATGTAATAAGACTTGTTAGTAGTTTGTTTTGTTAATCATTAATTCCTACTTAATGCTTAGGTAGCCTCCTAGGCATAAATGACTAATTAGTCATTTCTAGATTTGTGGCTTTTTTCCACGTGTAATTTATTAATTTCTCTCCATTTATTAGTTAACTAGGTAATGTCCCATTACCCGGTAATTAAATAATTACCCGTATAATTAAGAATTATCTCAATTTACCTAAAAATACTAATCATTTTTAATATACTTTATACATCACTTTATCACGGCCATATGGTACCTTGTATGGTACTACTTCATAATTATCGGGTATTATCGCTCGACCCGTATTTTTTCCCAAATTGGCCACTTTCGACGAAATTCATTTTCTTTAATTCGTGTACCCTTTACCCTTCATGACACTTATTTATTGCTTGTTATAAATAGCATAAATACGTTAACCTCAAGACAATCTCATCCCCGAGTCTGCGTCAATTAACTAAGGACAAAACTTTTAGCATACGAAAATGCGAGATGTAACAAATTGACTTATAGTCAGCATTGAGTATGTTCCGAGATGGATTTCCCTGGGGCGGATGGCTATATGCGGTACCGAGTGATTGAGTATGTATATATATACCTGGAGATGGATTTCTCCTCAGGGTTGGATTACCTTTATTCCTCGATAATGGTTGACTTACAGTCAGTGTTGTATATGTTTCGGGATGGATGTTCCTGGGCTAGATGGGAGCACATGGTGCATTTCATACATTCTGTGCATTGGAATATAGAATTTAGCTGAGATTTATATCTCACATTGTGCATATCTGTAATTATTTTATTGTTTGTGCAGATTCAGGTATCTCTGGCCACAGTAGCGGTTGTTGATTTACTCAGCAGCGTATCATCGAAGATAGTGAGGTAGCTGCCTGGCGATCGTAGTCCTGCTTTTCTCCTTCTTTATCTTCGCTTTAGTTTATTTTAGTTATACTCAGACTATGTTAGTCTTGCTATTTTCGGAACAGTTTGTAGTAATTGCTCATGACTCGGTAACACACCGATGTTTGGGGCTTTATTTTCTGCATTTCAAATTTGAGTTCAACTCTTGTTTTCTTTTATGAAATTCTATTAAATATGATGTATTTTGGCATAGTTTCTAATGAATTATGGCAGTATTGTGGAAGTTGGATGGCCTAGTTTTATTGATAGGCTCCATCACTACAGGTTTAAATTTAGGGTCGTAACAAGTTGGTATTAGAGCCTAGGTTACATAGGTCTCACGAGTCATGAGCAGGTTTAGTAGAGTCTTGCGGATCGCTACGGAGATGTTTGTACTTATCTTCGAGAAGTTGTAGAACCCTTAGGAAACTTCACATTTTTGAATTCTTATCGTGCGAATCTGTTTATACTGGTAACTAAACTTTTGTTATTCTATTATCTCACAGATGGTAAGGACACGTGCTACTGACCAGGATGGACAACCACCAGTTCCACCAGTTGGGGCCGCGAGGGGCCGAGGTCAAGATCAAGGCCCTGGTAGGGGCAGGGGTGTAGCCTGCACAACATCTAGGGCAGTACCTGCAGATCCACCAATTGCCCCATTACATGATCAGGTCCCAGTTGTGGATGCACCAGCTGGACTAGCTCAAGTACCGGCTGTGCCTATTGCAATTCCAGGTCTTCAGGAGACCTTAGCTCAGATTCTAACCATGTGCACCAGTCTTGCTCAGGTGGTCCCTTTTACTACTACAACAGCTACTTCCCAGGCCGTGGGAGGAACTCAGACTATCGCCGGCCGTACCCCCGAGCAGGTTGTTCAGGGACTTAAGACACCGGGGGTATCACCAGCCCAGCTGGTTGCACCTACTCATGATTATGTGGTTCCAGTCATTCCTAATGATGAGCAGCATAGACTTCAGCCTCCGACTTTCAGTAGTTCAGAGGGCGAGTATGCCCAGGGTTTCTTGGATAAGTGATAGAGGATTCATCGTACATTGGGTATTCTGGAGACCAGTGGGGTCTCGTTCGCTACCTTTTAGTTCTTTAGAGCTTCCTTTACTTGGTGGGAGGCTTATGAGAGGCGTAGGCCTGTTGGTGCAATGCTCCTTACCGGGCAGCAGTTCTCCATTCTCTTTCTAGAGAAGTATGTGTCGCAGTCATGTAGAGTGGAGTTGTGTAGACATGATGTTTGGTTGGTTCCTACAGACAGTGAGAGGATCGGGAGGTTCGTGGATAGCCTCACACATCAGCTACAGATTCTTATGAGCAGAGAGGGTGTTTGGTGATTCAATTTAGGAGGTGGTTGAAATTTCTCGAGAGATAGAGTCTGTTCGCTGCTAGGAGCGAGTTAAGAGGGAGGCCAAGA